TGTCTATGAACTGCATTAGCAGTTATAGGGCTTGGACCTGGTAGCATTAAGCGCTGCTGGGCTCAGCATGGTGCTGCTTAACCCTGCAGTGGATTGCAATCCTGCCAGCGGTTTGATCCCCACGTGGTCACAGGAGCCAAGGGCATGAGTTTGGGTAAGGGAGCCTGGGCCTCACAGGGGGTCACAGTGGCACACGGGCTGCACTGGAAACACGGGTGTAAGGGCACACTTAATTCCCACATCCTCTAGCCAGAATCCGTGCTAGGGAGCCTGGGCCTCACAGGGGGTCACCGTGGCACACGGGCTGCACTGGAAACACAGGTGTAAGGGCACACTTAATTCCCACACGCTCTAGCCAGAATCCGTGCTAACCAAGGTGGGAAAGACAAAACTCAGTGCCCCCCAGCCATGTGTTCAGCACCATAAACTTATTTACTCCATGGGATTCATCCTCAGAGGCGCCTGTCAGGCTTTGGCTAGGAAAGAGCAACCTACTATAAAGGCAGGTCTAGCATAGGGTGTTTCTGGAGCTTTATGAATCCATTAAAAAATTACTCAGCAGAATAATAAAAGCATCCAGAGCTTTGATATTTTACACATGGTTGTAATGTCTGTGACCTGAGTTTTTCTTGATCTTCCAAATAGCCAAATGTACTATCATCCAACAACAAACTTTTTAACAGAACCCTCCTCCCCAGCTGCAAACAGTGTAAAGCAAACACCAGAGTTTGAAGTACACGAGCGTTACTACTACGCGCTACTACACTATTTGTATTAGGAGAACAGGTGTTTTTCCTTACAAAAAGGAAGAGCAGGATACCTGGCATCTTGCCAGAGGCAGGCACCGGGATCGGAGAGCTACAAGAAGAGTGGGAGCAGGACGAGGATGCACTGATCATTCCCAAGAGCACTCCAGCCACACAGCCAAGGTGGGAGCTTTTCACTTTGATAGCATTTTTCCTCCATTGTTTTCCAACCATACACCTTCCAATCCTGCAAGCTCTGCAAAACGCTTTGCAAAACAACATGAAAACAAATTAAAAAGCCTGGGTTCTGCTGCAGAGGCCACAGCCACGGGGAAGGCGGGATCACAGGATCACCAAATGTCCCAGCTTCAGTCAAAGGTTCAGCCTCTCTGTGGATGCTCCGAACACTTGTGCCTGATGGCCCGGAGCTAACACCAGCTCTTCAAGCACCAGCACTGCTTTCCCTCTCCTTTGATGAAGGTATTTTGTGAAGGTCTAAGGGCAGCAGCCTCCACAAGGGCTGCAAGAGCAGCAGGCTGCAGCTGGGCCACAATTTCACAAAAACAACCTCCAGCACAAGCCCCATTCCAGGGCAAAGGAAGAGGCTGATGTCCCGGGGAGCTGTGCTCATTCAGGGCACCTTGTGTTTGCGCTGGCCTTGAACTCACCTCCACAGATGCTGTGCCAAGGGGCTGCCCCTCTCTGCCCCACACTGGGTGCTCCCTGCTCTCCAGCCTGGGTCCCTCTCATCGGCCGCCCCGACTGCGTGCACACACTCGACAGGGATTAAAATCATCAACAGGTTGTTGATTTACCACTGGTTTACCCCAGGAGCCTTCACAATGATTCTCACCATGTAGTTCTACGTGCATGGATGATTTCTTCTCTTGAATGCTGTCGAACTCGGAGGCAGAACTGCTTTTACGGTGATGAGAGGGGGCTCCTGCTCGGCTCCTCGCAGCTCGGGCTGCACTGTGCGACCCCTCGGGAGCTCACGGCCATTCCCAGGATTTCCTCCAGGTTTTCGGCCTTTGTGCCGGTTCCAGCGCCTGCAGCAGGACCCGGACACATCACAGTTCCAACCGCCTGCACGGCTGCTAACAAGCAAGTTAAACACCAAGTAAGAAAAATGACAACTACTGTTGTTACACTTACACGCTCCCACGGGCATCAGGAAGCCAGGCTGCCGGTTTATCAGGGAACTGAATTTAAAGAGTATTTTTTAAGTGCCAAAAAAGGTGGCAGCTAAGGATGCCAAGTTACTATAGTAACCATGAGAAAAGTGGCAATTATCAGCACTACCACATAGAAAAGACAGCCTGGATTGCCTTTTCATTTTACATGTAGTCTATTGCTTAAAAACAAGCCCATTTCTAAAATACTGAAATATCATGGAAAAATGATTTGAATGTAAAATGTTTTTGTCATGCAAAATGATTTTCATAGACTTTTGGGGGGCGTTCAACCTCTGCGATTTTAGCATTTTGACACAAAGTTCAACTGGAAAGCCCCCCTAAATAGACTGCTTTGCATCTGCAGGCCATGTGAATAATGAAGATTTATTTTTTGGGTTTTCTTACCTAGTAATCATGGCAGCAGGGGGGAAAATGCCACGTGTAGCATGTTGTCTGTGATCTTTACCTTTAATGCACTGCAGCGCATAGGGACTCCAGGACTGAAACCAGGGTATTTGGTTGGACTTTGCAAGAAACCTCAGGATAGATAGACCCAAGACAAAAAAAGAATGGGGGAAATGGGGAGAAGTCATTCCAGCAACACAAAAAAAGAAGCAAAAGGGATGTCCAAAGCCCAGAGCGACTGATTGATGAACTGCATTTGGGTTTGCTGACTCATGCAGATCTACTGAGCTAGCTCTAACTCCTGCATTTTCAATGCATATTCTAGGGAACATTAAGGAGGCCTTATTAAAACTTATTTCCTTATTTCTCCTATAAAAATCGTATCTGATGCCGGGTCTGTAGAAAAAAATGCCCGCAAATAGTTTCATTAACCCCAAATTTGATGCCCACAGGTTTCCTTGCCTGTCCTTAAGCACGCAGCATTGAGCACTACGTGATTCTCAAGGACTTCAAGTTAAAACATTGCACTTGACTGCCAGGAGCAAATCTATGTGTTTGCTTTAAGACTTGCCATAAAGGCTGGTTTGGATGAACTGGCTAAAGAGACCTCATGCTGCTGCATGCCAGCGCTGCCTTAGTTCTAGGTTCACAGAATGATGATTAAGAACAACATTGGGAGAAAAAGTTATGGCCCTTGTAGCTAAGCTGTTTGTACCTCTTACCTTGAGGTGCTGTTCATGGCATTATAACCAAGCTGCTAACTAGAATACCAAGGGCAAGATCTCGAATTGATGATTTTGTAAAATACTGCTGTCCTAATGACAGGAAAACACAAACAACTTACCTGGCCTGGCCTGTGAACCTAGCAAAAACAACAGTCTTATACTGAATTAATGTTACTCCCCACCTGTTTCTTTATCCTGTTAAAATCAAGGGTAAGAGTGACTCCCTTTTGCCCAGGCTTTTTTTGTCCACTTGTAATTTTTAAAAAGTGACACATGAGAGATTACCTGGTGTGAAGTCAGGACAAGTGTCCAGAGATGGTCCCAGAAAATTTGTTGGCTCTTTGCAGCCTTTTAACTCTTAAGTAACACCCCAGCTTTCAGGCAGGTTCTGTTGCAAGTGCAGATGTATCCGAGAAGCACCAGTGAAGCTGTCTGCATTCACAGTGACTGAACACTCAACCACTTCTTTGAGACAGGAGGCTATGAAAAGAGAAATAGCAAAACATTTTAAATCGTCCTTGCCACAAATACAGGGAAGATGGTCCTAATCACTAAATGATGCTAACAAGAAAGTAGTTAGATCTGCAAATCATATACAAGCTATGATCTGATTTTTGAAGGGTAAAACGATGATTTCACTGAACTTTTAAACTGATTATGGCATGAGCAAAAACAGGCATGAATCCTTCTAGGAGACACAGGCTGAGACAGGGTAAGTGAATTATGTCAACGCAGTATCTGTCTTCCTGTGGATTTCAGTGCTACTCTTACTCAAATCAATTTGTGATGATATGTTTGTACCTGCCAAGGAAGCCAGATACACAATCTGATCTTATGCCAAGCCACTATTAACAACTGCATTTTCAATTGATTCTAGGATATTCATTAACTGGCACCCATAATTACTAATAATTTAGAGACACATCATTTTAAATCCCTTGCCAGTTGTAACCTGAGCTCACTTTATGACATTCAAATGCATCATTCTTCAAAATTCACCAAGTAATCAACTTGCAAATGATTACAGTGGAATAGCACGGGACATAATCAAGTAAGAAGTTAGAACAAATATCACCAGGAATTTCTTCAGAACACTTTTGCTATGCTTTATAACCATCTCCAGAAAAGCAACGTTACTGCTGAACATCCTGCTGTGGGGCTGCACACACCAGCACTGCAGAAATGCAGGGGCTGGTGCTATGACTGCACATCAGGTCAATGGATTTTTAGAACAGTAAAGCTCGGCATCTTTGCATACATGATATTTTGTTCATTTTAATATTCACTATTTTCAGAGGCTACACGTGGACTGGTTTATCTCCATATTCTTTTTCCATGCAAGCAAGGTTATCATACACGCAACAGTAAAAAAACAAAAAAACAAAAAACAATCATTGCCATTCATATGTTGAAGAGATCCAATACAGCAATGCAGGAATTTTAAATCTCTCAGTTGGAAGTTTGGGACTCTCATGGAAAAATGTAGGCAAGAGAGATGGTTAAATCACATGTTTTATTAAGACTTCTAACAGAAAAAATAATAAAAACACAGAAGAATCTATTCTGAGCACAACATACGAGTTATACACATTTCTTCTTGTCTTATTGCAAATGTATACAAGGTTCAAATTTTGGAGTGCTGAAGCCACTTTTACCACTTCTCCTTACTCCCATGTTAAATTACATCAGTAAAATGAGAGCTATGGGAATACTCAGGCCTTGCACACGAACCCTGTTGTGGTGTGGATTCACAGACTGCCCATGCACACCTCTTGAAACGCACTGCTCTGCACACTCTGTTATCCAACTCCCGCTGTAGGCAGTAGGAGAGAATTACTGGAAGAGGAGGAAAATGTTGCTTTTTCTGATGACTAAAGCAAGAGGGAGGTCATGAAATACCTTTAAACAACACATTTTACATCTTAAATACAACGTATCTGTGATAAGATGGCTTGGAATCAATTAAAGTATACAGTAAGCAAGGTAAAAAACAGATTTGAGTCATGTCATCATTTACAGATGAACACTGCAAAAGCTCTTTGACTTAATTTGTTCTCATACAGAACCTTTGAATATTGGAAATAAATTAGACAAACAAATAAATGTCTTAACCACAAGGAACATTTGTTATGTGATTTTCCACTGCACTACAACTTAATACAAAACTATAAAAATAAGACACATTATTTACAAACTATATTTGTTTACAAAACTATTGGTTAATTCAAGTTTTAAATTACATGATAAATTACACAGCTCTGTCACACTTTACAAACAGTTAAAAGGCAAACATATTCTGAATACAAAATAATATCCTCCTGCTTTGGCTATGCCAGTTCATAGTACTTCCCAGTGTTTGGATCAAAGTAACAGTTCAGACATGGATCATACAAAAGAGTCAAGACTTCCTCATCTTCTTCAGCATTGCAGTCCTCGTCACCTATGTGAATTATGAAAAGTAAAAATAAATCACACTTTTATTCTCTTAGACAATAACATAGAACCCTTCTGTCAGGTGTGACAGAATTTTTCTTTCAAGTGTACAGTATTTCAACTTCTAAATTACTACCTTCAAAGATAACAGGAATTCACATTCTGAAGATTTGTATTTAGTTGAAGTGAAATTATGGCATTCAGTGTTTGCTTAAAAACTGGGTTTTACAGATTCCAATGGAACAATAGTTCTCTAGAAGCATTTTTACTTATAATGGATCAAAGTATTCCTAAGGTGTATTTTTCTCGATCAACTGCTTAATCGAAAATGTTTCAATATGAGCACAGACGATCTGTTCTTAGTATCTGTAAAATGAAACTGCATATTATTAAAATATTCTGCACGAAAAATCCTGAAGTTAAAGAGCACAATAATCTTTATTTGAAGACTTTCTTGCTTATCATGTTTACCTCATATCAATTGTATTCATGATTGTTTACTGTGTCATTTCTATAACATTTTCATTATTCTAAGTTGTATAGGCATTACAAGTAGTTTATTCGGTGTATTTCATTAATTGCCCCTAGGCAGATAGAAGAAACAGTATGACAAATAACCAGCTTGCAGCGAAGTCAGTACTGCTGCCAGTATTGAAAGAAGACAAAACAAACAAACAAACAAAACAAAATCAAACCAAAACAAAAAGTAGAGCATTATTCTCAGATGTTTTTAGCTGGAAATCAGGTTTGATTCACACACTAAGTATGGCACTTCCAAGCAGGTGGATATCATAGTGAAAATAGCTTTATGACATCAGAATTTCATGATGGTTTGATTGTAGAGAAAAAAAATATACTGGAGTATTTCTACATATATGGAAATTAAGACCAGAATGTGAAAACAGATCTCTCAGTTCAAGTTTGATATTGCCCTCAGGTACACTGGAGGTAATACACAGTGAGTAGATTCTTATTTTACATGATGGAAGTTTTCCCATGGATTTCACTCAGTCAATTTATCCACTGAGGAACAGGATAAAATTCCATATATGAAAATTGGCAGGGTTTCATGACAGTAAAAGGAAATAATATCCTTCAACAACTAGTAAAAAAAAAAATCAGTCTTATTGCAGGCAAATAGCAAATTCCCATATGACTATATAACAACTTCTTGATTTTTGGATATTGTTATTTTTGAACCATTGATGAAATTCTGCAATTTACAAGTCTCTCATTAACTGTTTTTATCACAGAAGAATAGTTAGGAACTCTATCTGCCTCTGCTTTACTTGCTACTTTACTTGCATACAAAAGTGACAAAACCAAGTGGCTAGTACTTTTAATAAAACATTCCCATTACTTTCAAACATTGTTGTTTACCTGTTTCTTGACAGTCAATTTGTAAATTAACTGTTAGAGTAAATTTCACACAGTTTTAATGTCTGAAACGTGATATGCCATCTAAATATCCAGTGTAGGTAAATCTGTACAAAAGAGCTTTAAATATCAACTAGGAAAACATACTATTAGACAATAAAGTCTAAATCTAGTTTGTCTAAAACTACATAAAATGCAAGAATGTTTTCAGGATGTGGAAACCAACTGTTAGACTAAAATGCATGAATAAAGACAGATTCATTTTGCCAATGCTTTATACACTGAAGCTCCTTTTTAAACATGCCTTTCATATGTAAGTCATATAACCTTTTGATAGGAAACAATTCGTGATTGGACACTCTTTGCATCTTGCATTTCATCATGAATGTTTGTCCTGTCCTCAAGCCCTCGGTGCAAACTGAAGGTTTTGTGTGCGCCAGCAATAATATAAGCAATGGCTTGTTATCCTAAAAGCAGCCGTTTCACAACTCTCCAAATCTGGTTACAGTCAGGATGCCACAACAATATATAGGTTACACTATCTAGAGACCACGAACCAGGCTGGTGCACGCTGAAGAAGTGTGCAACTTATTGAATACATACAAAGTGTGCACCTTAGTGTTCCAGAAGTGATTTAATTTTCATTTTCTCAGCAGTATTAACAAATGCAGTCAAAAAGAAAGTATTTGTTAATGCAACCAACAGTAAAACAACAAACCCGAACTGCTGTGCTCCTGCTGTTTGGATTTCATCAGGCCTGGGAAGCTAACTAAGGTTAGCTGGGATGCTTGGAGTGGACAGCTCCCAGGAACATTAATGCAGTGCAGAAAGAAGGGGTAGAACTGAACGTCTTCCTCCACGCTCAGCAGATAAGCATGGAATTCTTGCCTCATTCCCTCACACACTCCTACATATTCATCTGAAACCATTCTGTTATTTCCATTGTATCCTTCTCTTTTCATTATTTTTTGTTCTATTGTCTGTGCTTCTCTTTAAAATCTTACTTTATGCTGTTTTATTTCCTAAGCTTAAATCTCCTTCCCTCAGCCTCAGCACTAGGAATAAGAAGTTCTTCAGACTCATTAGGGGTCTATCTGCTTCCCTGTATACCTCAAATTCTCACTAAATCAGAACAGATTGCATCCAAGACTAGCTGGATTTATACCTTTATAGTAACAGCTCCCTGCATGTTATTTCATGTGAAAGTGAACTTCTCTTTCTAGCTAAACCTTCTTTTTAAAGCAAGGCTGCTTCTTGTAGCAAAATATTCCATAATGCCTTCCAAAGCACTTCCAGATGTTACCACAAATTTCCAATGGCAGTCTGGATATTTAGTTTTATGAGAATTTTTTTTTTAAAAAGTATTTTGTCAAATTCCTGTGTGAACACTCCACTTCTGCATTATTGACTTAATATTCTGCATTATAAGACTAAATTAAAGCATAGCAGCTGTGTAAAGGAACATCTTTCTACTTTCAAATCGTATATTCTAGGCAACCTGGCCATAGGTAGGAATTATGTTTCCATGGCAGAAGTAACTCAAACTTTCTAAGGAAATTTCTAGAGCTTTTCATGGGCCTGAAGCTGCTTAGTATTGAATGAAACAGTTATGAAAAAAGAAAAATGTGCCCTTTGGCAGTTTAATTTGAATACCACTGTGAAAGCAAAATCAAAGCTTTTCTTCTTAAAATATCTGTAAAATATCTTACCTTCTTAAAATATCTTTCTGTAACTGCTAAGGCTGGAGCATCATTGATTTTAAATAAAAGTTATCCACAAATCTGTGATACGCATTATAGAGGGATGAGTATTTTTTTCTTCTACTGAGCTGAAAGGGACTGAAGGTAGTTAGTACCTCTGTGTATTGTCATATTAAAGGAAATACTGTCCCACTGAAATTAGAGGAGCTCCAGCTGTTATAGAGGAAGGATTCTGTTCTGCATGTCTTAAATTGAATATCAAAGAATGGAGTCACGTAGCAGCTTTTTTCAACTCTTAAATAACTGTGTTATCTGGGTTATGTTAACACTAACTGCACAATCTGAAGACCTGAAATAAATAGGCTCCCTTTTCACAGAAGTAGATTTTCACTGTATTCTAGGTTTTAATACTAGAAAATGGCTTGTGGTAAAGCTCATCTTAAGATATATGGGTCGTATTCTGACCCCGAAGAAGGTAAATTAATCTGCAGTGGATCAACTGTTGGCAGAAAGCAGATTGAAAAGAACATTGTGAGAATCCTCTTCGAGAAGACCCTTGAACATTGAACCACGATGCTCAAATCTATGTTGTAATGATGTGCTGCAAAGTAACCAGATGAATGTTGTTCCCAGATGCACTCCCAGGAAGAAAACTATTCAGCTTTGTAATTCTTAAGTCTGTCTTATGTAATATTATTCTGTAAGGGAGATAAAATCTCTAGAATTTTATTTTACGATTGTGCATTTGTCATTTACTGCAAAAACTTTCTTTTGTATGAAAGATGCCACGTAGAATGAATTTGAGCATTCAATCAGTTGATCAACTCTGGAATTTAAGAGTAAGTAATAACTCATTTCTTTCATCACACAAACATAAATCACCTCTGTGAAATGATTAAGAAAATAACATTCCATGGTTATTCTGAAGTGCCAGAGACATATCACAGAATAAGACTTTTTTTAGCATCTCTTTAAAAAATAATACTGCAAAACATTTAGTTGCCATGTTCTCATAGTTTGGTAAGATTTTTCTTTAATTCAAGAGATCTAGAAATATGAATATAGTTTAAGGTTGGACAGGCACAATCTCATCTAGTCTGTATATTACAGGGCACTATATTTCCCCAAATCTCCATTTCAAGTCGAGAAATTTGTGTTTGAATAGATTGTACCTGTTAAAATATGGAAGCAAAATATGCAACTTGTGTGCACAGTTCAAGGACATTATTTTTCACAGACTGTAAATAGTCAGAAAGGGAGGCTTGCAGTTGGCTTGAGGATGCTGTAAATTGCACAGGTAAGCCACTTTACCAATCATACCTCACCTTCCCAGGGCTGCTAAGATTATGGTGATTTTTCCCTGCTATTTTAATAAGGAAAAGGTGTCTATCAGTTTGGACAAAAACCCACAAGCACTGCAGGATGTGGAGGGAAGGCTCTGTGACTCTCATTTTCTTCAACTTCTTGGCGTAATGAAGCTCAATCCCCTCAAGCAGCATGGCAATTTTGGGGAGTATTTGGAGATAAAACAAGCAAAGATCTTGAAGAGTTTCTTTACAAAGTTAACAAAATCACGACTATGATATATATACGTGAATCAGAATATAGTTTGATTCAAGAAAAGTGCAAGAATAAAAAGCCAAAATAAAAAGCTAACAGTAATTAGAGACTTTTTGTTCTCCACATGTGTTAGAGTTATATCATGTAAAATATTTCGTGATAAAGGAAAATGCATTTAAGAACTATTCACGAGATATAGACATTTCAGCACGACTAACTGGAGAAATCCAACAAACTTCCAAGTACACTTCTTGTTGGTTTTCTGAGGATAATCACCCAATTTTTAAATTTATGGAAATTCCAGCCTTACTGCAGCAGCCCTTAGATTTCATAATACTAACACTAAAACATTCTCAGAGATTTATCACAAATTTATATCCAACATGTCTTTGACTCAAGGATTACTGTCCAATTCACTTTGGCTCACTTAGATCATTTAACACAGCATATTATTTGATTCCTTAAAGCAAGGTCCTCTTCTGACAGTAAAATTCTATTTTGCTGTCATAAACAATTACAAATACACATCTGTGAAAAGATTCATAATTTGAGGGGCATAATCTATTTTAGAGAGTACATCACAGAGACATCTTCATCCCTTGGGCAGACAAAATATGCTGCTCAGATTTATGAGATTTCACACTGTATGCCTTAGACTTGAAGAAAAAAGTAGGTATTTGCCTTATTTCCCAACACAGCATATGAGAAAAAAGGGCCGTCGTTTGTTCTGTTCTGTTGCTTTGTTCTATTCTGTTGCCGCTGACTTTCTAGTTACACAGCTACATTTTTTACCACTCTCCAAGCAATTACTGCAATAAACAAAAACTTAGAACGTTTTTGGTGGTGACTCAACAGTCTAATCAGAAAATCACGAAATTTCATGAAAGGCTAAATCTGAAGTTCCCTTTGTAAGAGGAGTTCCACTTAAATAAATGAAATTGTTCGGAATAGGAATCATTTCATGGACACAGTCTTTCTTTCATAGGTTTGCCATCTTCACTACCACCAACTCCTTATTTTAAAAGAGGAAGATGCATTTTTAAATAAGTTAATCCATACTGAACCAGAAATCAGGAAACTGCCACTGTGTAAGTTATCCTTCTAGCAGGATGGAAAACTCTGTTAGCATGAACTGAGAAGAGTGAAAAAGAGAACCTTGCCATCAAAACATGGAAGTGCAGAAAATATCTACAAGGCAGCACCAACACTGGAGAAACAGCGTTTAGAGACGTCTCAATAGAGACGTCCACAGTTTCTACACAGGTCTCACCTTCATAGATTCCTACCTGGAATACTCTGTTTTGCTGAAGATTGCTCTTCTAGATGTTGGCTTGCAGGAACGATGGGGGGACTGAACACATTCAACCAGTCTCTGAAAAACAAAAATCAAAACAAGGTCACTTCCATTTCTGCCACTTTGGGCCATAGCTTGTGCCACAGCTGACACAAGGACATCGTGCATGCGGATTTGTGCTGGGGTCACAAAGACTAGCCAGAGCTGTGAAAGTAAATTCTGTATCCATCGATTCCTCTAGAAAGGATGAATTTTCCCAAAGCTTGGAAGATTAATTAACTTGGTTTCTTTACATTGCCAGACTGTATGAACAGCTTGAGATACAGCCTACTTCCAGCACAAAGCAGGTAACATACTTCTACTTCCTGAAAAGACTTATGATCTCATATAAGATTTTTTTCCTGACTGAGAAACCCAGCAAGGCTAAGTCATGTCCTATAACCAGTCTTTCCCACTTCTATTTTTTTTTCTGATGTTGGTGGATTTGTTATTGATTCCACATAATCTGCTGCTGGTATGTACACCGAATCTGGGGTGAATCAGGGGACACCCACCTATCTGTTTTCAGGCAAAATGGAAAAAACTAATTTTCTGCCTCAGGAAACAGAACTGCTGGTGTAGAAATTCAGCAAGTAGAAGAGCAGATTTAAAGGGAGAAATATTGAATTTTCCATCATTTCAATATATAAAAAACATACTTTTTTTTTTTTTTTTTAAGTACCGCCATAGTATTTTCACATATATGGCCAACATCAACTTTACTGCTCCTCCGCTAATGCCAGTGAGAACTGGAACAACTGATCTGCACAGCAATATGTTTGCTTAGATATTTCATTATTAGCTCTCCCTGTCACTTGGTGCATTTGCATGCCCTAAAGAAAGCCAAAGATTCATTTAGAGCAAAGCTCCGAAAGTTTTTAAGGATGACAGCCAGGTTATGTGCATTATGATACCAAGTGGCATGGCAAAATATATTTCTATTTCTGCTACTTGCATGTGGCTTGTGCCACCTCATGATCGGTCCACACGAAGTCAAACACTAGGGTCTCATAGCCCAGAACTGTTGTCCCTTACCCAATTCCCCACAATTGCACAGGACCCCCGTGTCACACGGGTAACCTCTTGGAAAA